CCCCCTCCCCCTTCCATCACTGCCGGCTCGAGTTCATCTTTTTGGGAGACAGTGTATTTTTTTTTTTTTTTATAATAACCTCCACACACCCCACCTCGATTTGGGGGATTTCTCGTGCCTCAAAGATGTCTCGGGATCAGCTAAAACATTCCCCTATTTCTTGAAAGCACAAGGCTCCCGCCCTGGCCAGCAGCACTGCTCAGTGCAGTCACGGCGGTCACGTCCTTGTGTCGGCCTCAGGAGCATCTCACACCTCGGCAGCCTGGTTTTTATCCTGGCCTGCCCAGGAGAACGTCTGCGCTGGTATTTATTCGGTCTCCATGAAAAGGACAGCACAAAAGAGGGCTATAAAAGGTGGGTACATGTCACAAACTATTACCAGCAGTGATTTAATACCAAATGAAAACATAACGCGTAATAAAGTTGAATTTATTCTTACCTTCGTCTTGCCTGTCAAGCTGTTGCATCGTGCGCCACGGGCACGTCCCTGGTGGCATCGCATCTCTCCGGCACAGGACTGATGGATGGAACAGATTTGCTGTGGATCGACTGTCTGCCTATGACTGCACAGCAGCGATTGCTGCAGAAGTGGGAAGATGATGGTAGAGAGCTCCAGACCGGGAAAGACAACAGGCTTTGAGCTGATCCTCCCTGAGCAGGAGAGATAATGAATGTGGCAGCAAGCAGTGGGGCAGGTGATGGCCATGTGGATCACTTGGTGCAAGACACCCTGATTCCTCTTCCCCAGCAAACACTGTGATTTGGAAGGTGACTTTGGATAGGGGATGGCACAGGGGTGTTCACAGAGATACACAGTGTGTGCACCACCTACGCATGAGCACAGGGATGTGCATGGACACACACGGTGTGTGCACAGACACGCACACAGTGTGCGCATCAGATTGATATAACTCAGCCTTGACCTAAGCTGTTCTTGTCACTGGTATATCAAACCTCAGTCCAAATGGAAGGGGTGGTTACAACTTGAGCCGGACCTGCATATCTACCAAGACCACTGCCAAGCCTAGCAGATGCCCAAGCCTGGGCATAAGGGAGGGCAGTGACATCTCTGGACCAGGGGTTTGGGAAGAAGTTTGCAGGGAGAGGCGGTGACTGGGGGGGATTCAGCCATGCAATCTAGTAGAGCAGTGCTTGCAGACACCACCAGATCTAAAGCCAGGACCCCCAAGTGAATTTTACTCTCATATAAAGTTTCTTGGATCCTGTTGACCTGTCAGAGTCAGTGTATACTGGGTCAACAATTTGGTTTTCATGGTTGCAGTAGTTATCATGTGGTCCTAAGCACTCCAAATCCAGATTTATCCAGTTGGTTGAGAGTGATCTGATCAGACTTGTAGTTTGTCCACTCAAACCAGTGTTTTGGAAGGAGCCTTCTGTCATCTCACATGTAGGTATTGGAGTTTATTTGCTTTTTGCAGGCTACCATGGCAGGTGATTACATTATCAGGCATGTAAATTTGTGATACCAGAGAGGATACTTGGTCTTGGCAAATGCAAAGGAGATGGACCTCATAAGACATTTGAATGTAGTCCTAGGAAATATGGGGAAAGAAGGTGGTCTCAGGGGGCTGACTGAAGATCTCACCTTCACCAGGCAGTAAAATAGCAGATGAAATCGCATAAAACAAACATAACGATCTATAGGGGAAATAACGATACTCATTTTCCATAGGCAGCAGTGGGCTCTGCATGGGCTAATGCCACTCAGGAATAATCCATGTCAAACAGAATACAGTAGACCTGAAAAAAAAACCAAACCCAAAACTCACAGAAGGGCAGCAAGGATGACCAGATGTCCAGACTGGCTGCTGCATGAAGAATAACTACAGAGACTGGGACTCTTCAGCCTGGAAGAAACAAGTGAGGTGCATATGACCAAAGTATACACAGTTGTGAGGGACAAGGAGAACAAGACCAGGGGCATCAAGAGAAATTAGGAGGTCGTAAAATAAGTGAAAGGGAGATGCTTCCTCCCTCACCTTGGCATTAAGCTGCTTCCACACATTGCTCTGGCTGCTCAATGTCCATAGGGGTTAAGAAACCCCATAGGACAAATCTGTGGAAGGAAAATCTCTTGAGGTTTACTCAGGACAAAGACACTACCTTTGGTTCCAGAAGTCTCCAAGCTACAAAAGAATATTCAATGTGCACATGCCCTGATTTCACACCCTTCGCTGCACCCTAGCTGCTGCCCCATGTGGGAGGCAGAATGCAGGCTGGGAGGACCCAAGGTGGCATTCTGCTGCTCCCATCTCTTTTGCTGAAAGAGGACTTTCAGGTCCCACAGCTTCAGGAAACCTGAATTCAAGTCCCTGCATATGAATTACATGTTATTTTACCATCCCATCACCATGAGCCCTATCTCTTGGGGTGTTGATCTGATAGAATAGAGCCCAGACCATCTTGAGAAGAGTGTCCAGAACAGGTGGGTCTCTGTGTCAGGCCTGGAACTGTGTCCAGTTTCAGACTGCCCAGTACAGGAAAGACACTGATATACTGGAGTGAGTTCAGTGAAGACCACCAAGATGATTACAGGAGCTCAGGTACATGACATAGAAGGAGAGAATGAGAGAAACTGGGTTTAAGTCTTCAGGGGAGGGCTAAATGGAAACCTTGCTTTCTTCAACTACCTCATGGGAGGGTGCAGACCAGACAGCGCCAGCCACTTCCCAGAGGTGCAGAGTGATAGACTGAGAGGCAACAAATGCAAGTGGCAAGGAGGAAAGTTCTGATTAGATGTTAGGAAAAGAAATTGCCCTGTGAGGGGGATTAAACAGTACAACAGGTCCCAGAGAGGTGAGCAATCTCCATCCTGAGAGATGGTCAGCTGTGGATGGGACAAGGTGCCAAGCAACTGATTGACATCCTGCTCGGGGTGGGAGGCTGGACCAGAGACTTCCAGAGGTCCCTTCCCACCGTAGTCGTACCATGGTTCTGTGCCTTACCCCAGTAGCAGAGGGAAGCCTGGATGGTGAGTGCAGGTTTAGCTCAAATGTGGTGAGACGAGGCCTGTTGTCGTATTGGATCCTTCCCCGAGACACGGTGGATGTATTTTTTCTGCCCTTTCAGGGTCTGAATGGTTCTTGTGCCCGTCGCCCTGCTGAGACAGAGCTTCCTCTTACAGCATCTGCTCTCCCGTCATTTTGTTCGCAGAGAGTGACAGTGCCCTCTGCTCCTGTCTCTAATTGGAAACGTGCTCTCTCACCACTTAGTTTTTGAAGCCTAAGCTAGTCAGCCACAAGGCTTCAATCCGTGTTAGCAAAGCTTTCGTCTTCTGCCTGCAAATCCAGTGCTGATTCACAGCAAGAGTAGCAGATGTTTTCTCACTCCTCTCACACAACATATCCTTCCCTTTCCCAGCCTGCACGTATACCCATAGGTTCCTTCCTTTCTAAAATCACAGGCTTCTTCCTGCTCTCCAGTGTGACGTGAACAAGCTCTCACCCCTGGTTCTTCACCAAATATTCATGCAGACTGTACAAGGGCAGGGCTTTTACAGAGGACAAGCACAACGGACTTTTTGTCTAGGTATTTAATGGAGGATACTCTCTCTGAAGCCCCGAGAAGCCGTCTATGGGGAACGCAGCAACCTCCAGCTGTTTGAAGAGATGCTGCATCAACCAGAAGTGTCATCTTTAGCTCCAGGAAAGTGCTGGGGTTAATTTAATGATCATTTTTATTAGCTACCTGCATTGCATTTATAATAACTCTGCATCACAGGCATGACACAGAGCTACTGGCACATATTCAGCTGAAACCTTCTTTTGCAATCCATAAATATGTCTATTTTAAACCTGCAAGGGAATATTTCCAAATGCTTGACTGGACCCTCTAGAAATTAAGAAAAAGAAGAGTCTGTGTGATCTCAGAGACAGCTGGGGAGATGAGCACAAAGAAAGGTCCTATGAGTCTATGCTAAGCATCACCTTCCCTGTATCCAGGAAAGGAAAGGATAGGACGAGTTTCTGTAGGAGCAGGGATTGCTCTGGATCATATTAGATGGAAAGGGTGCAGCATGTTTTCCTACCTTTGCAGGACTGCAGTGTGACTGTCCCATCCTACACAGAGGAAAGGACATAGAGGGAGAAAATCCTTCCTCCATCCACCAATTGTGTTGGGTTTGGCTTTTTCCTACCATCTTCTTCACCATCCTTTATAAGAGAAAAGCAGCAGGTAGAGGCGCATCCCTCAGCCTTGCTTAGTCCCTCTGACCCTATGGCATGGCTCAGTTCTGACCTGGGTTTCCCATGGAGGTGATCCATGATTGCTCTCAGCCATGACTGCTTCTCTCCGTCATCCCGGAAACCTGCCTGCACCTTTCCACTCTGCCCCTGAAGGCACTTGGGAGAGACATCCCTGGTGGTCTTACTTTTCCTTGGTCAACCTCCATCATCGCTATTGTGAAAACCACTGCTGCAGCCCCAAGGGAAGAGAAATATCAGCAGGGAAGCAAGGGTGTCTCTTACAGCTTCTTCTCCAGACAGTCCGTGGTCCCCCTCATGCTGAAGTCCTGGTCCTCATCACTCCTGGCACCGCAGGAACATACTGCGCAGGACCACTGGCTTGGGGAGAAGCCCATCTGGTGGGAATTTGTCTGCCATGGGGCTGGGAACCCATCAGCAGAGCCTCCCAGGTCCTGAGCTCCGACCTGCTTCATGCGCATTGTCACACTACCTGCCCAGTCACTTCGGAGCAAAGCGACAACTAGTCGCTCCCTGTTCACCCTCTGTCCTCTCCATTTGCCATTTCACAGACCTCCAGTTCCTTTCACGTGGTCCTCCTGTCTCTTGAAAGGTGACGAGTTTTGGTGTAATGAGTCTGGTCTTACTTGCCCTAACTTTGTAAATGAAAGTAACAGCACAGCAGTAACCTGCCCTGACGTTCACCACCACGTCGTTTCCCCTGCGGGAGCAGGCTGTCCCGGCCGTCCCAGTTCTGCCCCGTCCCGGAGCGGCTTGTGCAACCTCCGGCGGGCTAGCCCAGCACCACTTCCCCTGGGGCCCTCGTGATGCCCGGCCCAGCCGGCAGTGATTTCTCGGAGGAAGCAGCCCGGCAGGTTTCTACCCGCCTGGTGGAGCAGGGGCAGCAGAGCTGTGGCTCCACCATGAGCCTTGGGGCTGCGGCCCCCGGGAAAGAGGTGAGGGCAGCCGTGGGGAGTGGGGTGCCAGGGCGGTGGGGAAGTCGGCTGTGGGGAGTGGGTGAGAGTGGCTGTGGGGATGGGGATGAGAGCAGCTGTAGGGATGAGAGCAAGGGTGGTTGTGGGGATGAGGTGAGGACACCCGTGGGGATGGGGGTGAGGACATCTGTGGGGTGGGGGGTGAGGACACCCGTGGGGACGGGGGTGAAGACACCCGTGAGGATGGGGGGCAAGGATACCTGTGGGGAGAGGGAGAGGAGAGCTGTGGGGATGGGGTGAGGACACTTGTGGGGATGGGAGCGAGGACAG